GGTACGCAGGAGGCTCTGGGATCAATCTGCAGCACCACCAAAAAAGGGGGGGGAATTAAAATACCCGTTGGATCAATTTGGTTATATTGTTCAAACCTCTATGCCATCCCCCTCCCTTCCCATCCTGGGGATCAAATCCAGGGCCTGTGGCTCTGAGCAAGCATTCTTCTACCACTGAGCAACGTCACCAGTCCTCAGAAGTTCTGTCTTTGGTGGGTTTTTGACTGCCTGTTCTGTCAGTTAACAGAGATACAGATAAAAATCACCAACTATGATTGTGGATTTCTTTGTTTCTAACAGTTCTGTCCACTTTGGCTTTATATATTTTGAAGTTATATTATTAGCTACCCACAGATTTTAAATTGTGTGTACCTCCCTGACAAATTGGAACTTTTAATCATGATGAAATAATCTTCATAGTCACTGGTAGTTCTTGCCATAAAAGTTTGTTTTGTGTGGTATTACCTTTCTTTATATTCGCATGCATCTTTTTGTAGCCTCTTTCAGCTTATTACTAGACATGTCTCTTATAAATAGGATATAATTGAGGTTCACTGTTACAATCAGTCTAACAGCTGGGTCATTAAAATGATAGAATTATTGCTGCCTTGAGTTAAAATGCCTTCTATTATTTTGTGATCCTTCATCTACTGTTCTGTGTTTCTTTTTCTCTCCTTTCTATCAGATTTTTATTAATCATTCCATTGTCTCCTTACTAGTTTAAAAGTTATACATTGCTTTGTTTCTGATCTTCATGTGGTTACCTTTGAAATTACCACTTTTTTTTGAGGGGGAGGGGAGTTGAACTGGGGTTTGAACTCAGGACCTCACACTTGCTAGGCAGGCACTCTCCTACTTGAGACACTCTGCCAGTCCTGTCTTATGTAGGGTATTTTTGAGATAAGAGTCTCAGAAACTGTTTGCCTGTGCTGACTTTGAACTGCTGATGCTCCTGATCTCTGCCTCCCCAAGTAGCTGTGATTACGGGCATAAGCCAATAGTGCCTGGTGGTTTACCATGTTTTAAAGTTCATTGATTCCTTTATACTTTCTTCCTGATAATGGAAGGACATTAGAATACTTTAGCTCTATATACCTGTTACTGTTATACATTATTACTATACATATATTTTTTAACTTAGTCAATGTTTAAATGTACTGATGTATTTATCATTCTTGCTTAAATCTCCACCTTCCTTCACCTGAAATACTTCCTTGAAAATGGAGGTGCTCAAAGGGTGGTACATATACCTTTTGGGCCCCTGAAGCCATTTCAGGTTTATTTTCACAATAATAGTGAGTTGTCATTTCTTTTTTCACTGTATTTACACTTGCACTGATAAGACAAGGGAAACCATGCTAGCAGTTGTTGTGTTCTTCAGTACCATGCACTCCCATTTAAAAAAATGACATCCTCACTTAAGAATGACCTTAGTGGAGCTGGGGTGCAGTTCAATGATAGAGCACTTGCCTAGCATGCAAGGGAGGGAAGGAGGGAGGAAAGGGGACAGGAAGGGAGAGGAGAATGTTGCAATTAATTAGAATTTTGGAAAACTTAACATATGTTACAGGTTGAAGCTCCTCAATAATTTTTTTTTTTTGTCTCAGGGCCCCCACACATGCTAGGCAAATGCTTAACAAGGGGAATGATAATACCAACAAATTTGATCATAGTATAATGAATTATATAAATATTTATGAGATCTGTACAACCCAGTGAACCAGTATTTTCCAAATGACCAATGTGTGATGTTATAAAATCATGCATCAAATTATGTATTCAAAGTGCTGGCCAGATGAATGGTTTTTAATGTAACAGATTATTAAAAACTTTTTTATATGATTGCATTTTGCAGTTAACTTTGGGGGGGGCAGTACTGGGGTTTGAACTCTGGCCCTCACACTTGCTAGGCACGTGCTCTACCGCTTGAGCCATACCTGCAGTCCTTTTTACTCTGGTTATTTTGGATATGGGGCCATAGGGTTTCGATTTTTGCTCAGGCTGGCCTGGATGGAGATTCTGTTTTATGCTGCCAATGTCACTAGAGTGACGGGCCCGCACCTCACAAACTTTTTTGCCTGGATTATCCTGGAACCTTAATCCTTCTGATTTCAGCCTCTCTTGGAGTTTGGGATGACAGGAACACAACACTGCACCCAACTATTGGTTGAGGTGGAGGCCTCATGAACTTTTTGCCCAAACTAACCCCAAACTTCAGTCCTCCTGATCTCAGCCTCCCAAGTTGCTAGAGCCAGCACCCAGCTTCCTTTTTTTTGGAGACAAGATCTCTCAATGTAGCCCAGGTTAGATCCTGCCTCCCAAGAACTGGAATTACGGGCCTAAACCATCACACCCAGCTGGAGAAAGACAGAATTGTAAAAACAAAACATTTCTAGTCCTCACAGAATGTTTTTGTCTTTGAAAAAATTCTTTCATTTAAAACAAAAAAAAAAAGATGTAACATGTTCATTATTGTTATTTTTACCTCATTCTCTCCTTCTTTCTTTCTCTCTTTCAATCAAAACCATAAGAGCTATGCCTGAGACCTGTTACTTTTTGTCAGCTTAATTTTAATAGTGCAAAGTGGATATAGGACCAAAAATTTGAGAATTGCTTCTTTAGGATTTCTTTTAGTAAGAACCTGCTTGTGGCAAACCCTTAGCTTTTGTTTGCTGAAAATGTCTTTATTTTACCCTTATTTCTGAAGATTGTTTTCAAAGACAAAATTTATTTTTCTGTTTTGGTTTGGTGTGCATTTATTTATTTATTTATTTGGTGATACTGGGGTTTGAACTCAGGGTCTCATGCTTGTTAGGCCAGTCTGCTACTTGAGCCACTCCACCACTCTGCCAGCCCTTTCTATATTGGGTATTTTCAAGATAGGGTCTCACTAACCTCAATCCTCCCAGTCTCTGCCTCCCTGGTATTCACTAGCACTGGCATCTAATACAACACACACTTTTTATTTTTTCCTTTTTTATGCCGTACTTGGGTTTGAACTCAGGGCCTTGTGTTTTCTAGGTAGGCATTCTACCACTTGAGCCTTACCCCAGCCCTGCCTTTTATTTTTTTAACATTGTAAACAGAGTTGTTTTCATAGTTGATATTTTGAGTATCTGGTGTTTGTATGGGTCTATTTTTATTGACTGTTATTTCTTCTGGTTCTCCTTGACATTACCTCATACCCTTTGATTACCTTTGTTATATGCTTTTTTTCCCTAAAAAACTACCTGTTAATAATCTGAGGCCTATACATGAAGTAAACTCCTCCCAGGATGGTTTGCGCTAGGTGCTCAGGTGTGTTACACATCCAGACACTTTAAGTGTAGTATCCTAGAATGCCAGAGCTCTAATTGATGAGATTCCAATCTAGCCCTAATTTGTGACTGTAGCCCTTTGAGAATCCTTAATTACAAGAAGGAGTTCTGTTTGGCTTTCTGCTTTGGACAGGTTCTGGGCTTTGATACTTGCCTTCTCTATCAAAACCAAAGATTAGATTTGTCTAATGTGTAGATGCCTTTGGGGCAAAAACATCTGTTCCTACCTCTCTGGCCTCCCACCTTCCCTTTAGTTTTGTTTCTCACACGCATGTGTTAAACCATTATGGGAGACAGCCTCCAGAAACAGTGTGTTTTAAATTTCAGTCTAACCATAAAAGTAGAGAATCTTTACCTTCTGGATATAAACCCTACCTTACATGTAAGGCAAAGCTCATTAAGAAGTATTGAGAGAAAGTAAAGTGTAGTAAGATCACAGGTTCTGAAATGAGACTGCCTAGTTTAAATCCTGTGTCACATAATGGTCTGTGTGAAATTATGCATGGCACTTAATTTCATCTTGGTTTCTTATCCACAAAAAGAAAATAACAGCAGCTCACCTCATTTTTAATTGAGCAGTTTGATTCAGTTTTAGAGTAAACATCTTGCTTTAATACTGTAAGGTGCATTGCAGGTATGCCATGCTGCTGGTTATTATCAGGACAACACATGCCCCAGTCAGTGATCCAGAGGGCTGGACACTCCTGCACTCACCCTTTTCAGGCATGTGAAACTACCTGAGGGCTGGAGGCATGGCTCTGGTGAGTGCCTGCCTCACTAGTGCAAAGCTCTGGGTTCAAAGCCCAGAGCTGCAAAAAAAAAAAAAGAAAGTTATTTACAGTGTTTCTTCTTGAAATCAGTCTACACACATGTTGCCCTAGAGCTTGCTTTGATGCTCAGAATACCTCATTGTGTTCAGTGTCATCATTTGTGACTCTCCAAAAAGTTCTGTTAACATGCAAGCAAACAGTACTACTTGTACTACAGTATTATTTCATTTTCTTGTTATAAGGGTCAAATGAGGTAAGACAGGTAAACATTTGCCACAGTGCCTGGTGCACAGTTGGTGTTCAAGTATTTAGAACAGCCGGTCACATAGTAAATGGTTGATAAATACTCACTGTTATGTTAAGCATTTATCATGTGTGTCTGCACAAACAGCCTTCTGCTAAGCTCCCGTGGTCTTTGGCCATACTCGGGTTGGGAAGGGAATCACACTTGAAGGACACAAGTAGGCAGCAGCCTGACAGCAGAAGCCGTGGCCTGGCTGGCTGTGTCAGTGGCGGCGTTTGGTGCGTTCGCACCTGGCCCGACCGCTTGGCGATCCCTACCCAGGGGGTTTCATGGTGCTCTCAACGCAGCCACTGGGGAACGACTTCCGCTCACATTTCACCGCCACGGAGGTTACAGGGCCCCTCTGAAGTCCAGAGTCCAGCCACAGGAAGGGACAGTCAGTCCGTTACATTTCTGTGAAAAACGCGTGTGTGCGCAGGTTGCTAAGAGTCTCTAAAAAGATCACTGGAGGACAATCTCGGGAGAAAAATAGCTGCCTAAGTTGAGACTGATCGGTGAATACCTAGAACTCGGTTCTTTGGGCTCTCTGGAGCCTCACGGACTCGTTCTATACTGGAAGTTACTGTGGTGCTGCCCTGTTGACTTTGCCTTTTCTCTCTCCTGTGACAGTGTCATCAGCAAAGTGGTGCCAGCTCCCGAGGCCAAGCCCGCGCCGGCTCTGAGCCGCCCCAAGACCCCGCCGCCCGCGCCGGCCGCCCCCGCGCACGTGAGCCCCGCGCCGCCGCCAACGCTGCCGCTGCCGCTGCTCGCGCCCGCCGCCGCCTGCCCCGCGCTGCTGCCCGCGCCCGCGGCCCCCGCCATGGCCGCCAGCGCCAAGGGGCCGGTGCGCAGCGTGGTCACCGAGACCGTCAGCACTTACGTGGTGCGTGCCCTCCTCCCTCTGCCCTTGACATCGCCTCCGCCGGGTGAGGGGCGCCCTGAGTTCAAACCCAGGCTGGCCGCAGGCATCTAGGGAGCCTCAGCCGCCGTGCCTCCCAAGGGCGCGGGAGATTCCGGCTGAGCCACGGCACAGCCCTGCGGCCGCGTGAGGCGGTGCCCGCACCCGGGACGCCTGGGCGAGACTCAGGCGATGTGCAGAGGCTGTGAGCCCGCTGGCCTGTCCGAGTTAGGGCGCTGTCCTAACATTTTACTGGATAAACTCTGCAGTGTTAAATGAAGTGCACTTTTAGACCACAGCCCCCTGGGCCTCCAAGCATGACTTCACGTGATAAAACCCACCCTGTGGGAGTCCGCATTGTCCAAGCACTTTTCTAGATGGTTTCCCTGTTCTTTTTTAGTGTTGGACTTGAACCCAGAGCCCTGTGTTTGCTAGGCAAGTGCTCTACCACTTGAGCTATGCTCCCAGCCCTGTTTTCCCCGTTCTTAACAGTGTCAGATCTTTTTCAACCCCGAAGTCACTCTACCAGTGAAGTCTTTATAAAAAGAGGTTCTGTGGGCACTGTAGAGTGACACGCAAAGACACAGCTAGGTACTTCTCGGGCAAAAGGCCCCGACGCTGCTGTGACTACCAGTTGTGCAGACTGACGCACTAGCCTAAGGATGCCTGTGGCCTTTGTGAATAGGTAGATGATTGGGAAATGGGGGGGCAGGACTCAGTGTTATAAACCCGTTTGTTGTTAGAAACCATACAGCAAAATGTTAAAGGAGTTTAGAAGGAAATAAATCCTTAAATATTTGAGAAGCTATAATGATAAAAAATAAGCATAAAAAGAAAATTTTAAATATTCAGAGATGATATACACATGAAAAGTATTTAACTGGCAAGTCAAGGCAAAATAGAAGATGTGATATAAAGAAGTGTGATGATCAAATTGTTCCACTCAAAGAGCAGTTGCTATTGGTGTTTAATTGAGGTAACATCACCCCAAGGTGGATTGATCAGGAAAGATTTTTATACTCAATTTCTGCCACCTCCACTTACTTAGTTGTAATTACAAGATTTGTATTAGATTCGATGATCTCCATATTGTCTAACTCTAAAAATTTTGGCTCTCCAGTGGGTGTTTGAGCAGGCTCCATAGGAAAGAATCAAGTTGGAAAACACAATGTAGTTGAAAAGCTTTTTTTTTTTTTTTTTTTTGTCACTGCCTAATAGTGTGGTGTCGGAAATGTCACTTAAATTCTCCTGGCTCAAGTTTCCCTGTTCTTAATCTATCCTGAGCTTGTTTTATGATGACTAAATGAAGAAGTATATTTGAAAGAACTTAGTAAACTGTGATGGACGCTATGGCAAATTTTTTTTTATGTAGCACAGAGTCACAGCCTGCTAATTTCAAGGAAGGTCAACCAGCAGTAGGACTGGCCATGCATGTTAGCTTCAGGGCACAGGATGCTGGGCCAGCCCCAGCTGCTGGACAGCTGGTGCATGGTGACTACTGGTTCTCTCCTCTGTTACACTCTTAGGTTAGAGAGGGAGAAGTTAAAAGGCAGAGATGGAATTGCCTGCAGACTCTCTGAGGATGGTTTCATATCTGTGCAGTTTGACTTTGTAGAGATTTTTTTCAAAAATAATAGGCCTTAATGTAAGCCCATGAGTAGAATAAAACATATATACCCCTCACGCACAAAGAAAAACATTTCCTTTTTGCATATCTAGTCTGTGTTGTATTTAAAAGTATAGGAAGAGTCCACACGTTGGGGAAAAAAAAAAAACACCTGAATGATATTATGTGCTATCTTGTGAAAACATTTAAAAATTAGGTTTTATTTACTGTTCTTTTTCAGTTTCCATATAGAATTATGTCTTCCAGATTGGTTTTAGTAATGTGAAATTTTGAGGAAGTGGTACAATTAGGGATGCTTTCTATGTAGAACTGCTACGTTCATAAAGTAAACTCCAGGGCATATAATACTCGTAGCAAAATCATGATTACATGTGTGGTTCTTTGGCCCCTGAGCCCCTTATTTCATTTGCCCTTTAGTTGATTGTACTTTTCTAAAAATGTCATAAAGGGAATGGAAAGTTACTTAGTAACAACTGTTTTATATCCTTGATCTTATCAGCTAGTTCAGGAGAAGGGTCTGGCTAATAAGTAATAAGGGGACACACACACGTTTGGCTGTACATAGTAATCTCATGTCTACGAGTGTGGTTGGGGAAGCTATGTAAGTTGAATTCTACAGCTTTCAAAAAACGTCAGTTGTTATTGCCATAAAGACCCTAACTAATCATTAAGAACTTATGAAGTTATAGGAATTTTTAGATAAAACAGATTATAGATCATATTTTGATACTGTTCACAGAGATGATTATGAAATGCTTTGTTTTTTATGAATTACAGAACAGTTTAGAATATTCATTAGAAATAGCTTATTACGGCCAGGCATGGTGGCTCACGTCTGTAATCCCAGCAATTGAGAGGCTGAGGCAGGAGGTTAAAGTTCGAGGCCAGCCTAGGCTACATAGCAAGACCCTGTCTCCCCCAAAAGAAGAAGTGTCTTACCAGTTAATACTAAGTAAGTAGCTGTCTTCTTTTTCACATGATTCCAGAGACATGGTAACCATAATCATGGTTTTATTAAAGTGCTAATCCACTATATTTTTAGCTTGATTTTTCAGTTTGTTGGGTTTACAGTAGAAAGTAATAATTCTTATCTGGCCTTTTCGCTCTTTTTTCTTCATTCCATCTTTGTTTTTGCTCCTTCCCCTATGAAAACGTCAGATTCGAGATGAGTGGGGCAATCAGATCTGGATCTGTCCTGGGTGTAACAAGCCTGATGATGGGAGTCCTATGATTGGCTGTGATGACTGTGACGACTGGTACCACTGGTGAGTCCCCAGAGCACCTGCCAGCCACACTCCGAGCTGCTGCTTACACAGGACAAGTGCAGGCCACTGCCAAGGGGAATTAGTGCCCTTAGACCAGTTCAATGTCTATCCTTAGATCAGAGCACAAAATCAAAGCACAGAGCCTGTAAGTGAAATTCATTGCAAAACTCAAGACTCTTTGTGCTGTTGTTATTCAGACTACATTCTGCGCTTGTCATCATTCTTACAAAAAAGAGTAAGAGGAGACATAGACTTCCTCCTCCTTCCTCTTCTCTCATGTTCTGTTAAGACCTGCAGCACCTGACAGTACCAGGAAGAGATGACCCCTCGAAAACACAGTGCAGACTCCAAAAAGAGACACTGCTTACCTGTTTTAAATCCTTTCAACAGTTCCACAAAACTGAAGAAGTTCAACCAAAATACATGCAGTCTTCTTATTTTATCTTTAAAATACCAGATATGAAAAATGCCTGTTCAGTTATAATCTATGGTCTCTTTAAAATAAAAACAAGTCATCACTTAGAATTCCACTATTCCTGGCTGAAAGCGTAAATGAACTAATTAATCTGCCCGATAGGGCCTATAAAAAGAGGCAGCCATAGTGCCATGTAAATTAGCCATTTGACTTTGATTTCTGGTACACATATCATAGACTTTAAAAGTTGTTTCAAAACAAGGAAAGGAGAAGAATAAGCATATATGAAATTTACTTATCTGAATTTATTTTTACATGTAGGCCCTGTGTTGGACTAATGACTGCCCCACCAGAAGAGATGCAGTGGTTCTGCCCCAAGTGTGCCAACAAGAAGAAAGATAAAAAGCACAAGAAGAGGAAACACCGAGCACACTGACGTCACCTCAGGGTGGCTTCCCTGACCCTGTGGACGCACTGGCGTCCTCCTGCCATAACATCGCCCTGTGGATAAGGAGTCCAGGAAGACAAGGACAGAGTGCAAGCACGCCTTCCACCCTGAATTTCCCCTTCTCAAACATGCTGGTCTGAGGTTCCATAGTGGTGTGACTGAAGAAAACCTCTAGCAGGGCGTGGCCTAAGGGCTGCCCAGCTCCATTTTTCTATTACCAGTGACAAGTATTATTAATAAAAGACCATACATCTTCCCTTTTGATTTCCTTTGTTCTCTCCAGGGCCTTTCATTAAGGTATTTGATGAGAAGGTAATGTATAAACTGCCTCGACTGTAATTTAAGGATGATACTGTTAGTCCATATACAGTTTTCAACTTCTTTCCCTCTAGAGTGAGATAATCATAATAACATAAAAGAAAACTCCAGGTGGAGTATTGGTAAATATTTTTTTGATGAGAATATATGAAGCCTCCCAAAGCCCCATTTTTAGTACTAACGTAAAATGTTCAGGCTTTTGTGAAATACCTTATATTTTTTAAGAAAAAGGTTTCTATCATGTCCTGTTTTCTTCTGTGCAAATTCTTTTTGTTTAATGTATTTTATATATTTGTTGCATTCTAATTTTGCCCTTCTTTAAACTGCTGGAGTCTCTTCTCACTGCTTGTACATTTCATCAACTTGTATAAAAACTTCATACTAAAAAATTTCCCCTAATGTAAATAATAAATATTTATGAAGTAGTTATTTTTAAAATTTTTATCGTGTTTAATTCTGGCTTCCTCTGAAGTCCACTGTGGTTTCAGCCATGTCTGTAATTACCGCTGTACATAAGCAAAGACGACTGGAGAAGAAGAGCCATAGTTGTGAGCAGTTTGCTGCAAGCTGACTGAACTGCAGTGCCCAAACGTGTGGGGAGAGAACCCTAGCAGTTGGAAGGAAAGCAAGGCAGTTTAACTAGAGTTTAGGATTGGAAGTTATTTGTTTGTTACCTATTTTGTTTCTGTAAATTTCTCTGACTTTTACTAAAAGGACATGTAGGTTCCATGAAAGTGAAAAAAAACATACTGTAGCATTTTGTGTTTATATTGTTTTATTTCTACAAATTGTTCATTGATATTGTGCTTTAAGGCTGAAATGAAGTATATTATGAATTTTTTTAAAGAAAACATCAAATTTCAGGGTATCACAAAACGTTATTATATTACTATACTGGCCACTATTTATTATATGTTATAGATATCTGAAAGGTAAACCAAATATTTTATTTTTAATGTAAAAAACATCAAATTTAACTTTATTAGCATATTTTAGTGACTTTGGAATAACTATGGACTTTTACTTGATTTTGAAGTCATCACAATTTGAGCCCATGCTATGGATATCTTGAATGCTAGAATATGGGCTTTGAACCCAGTTCAAATATATTAACAGAAAATGTGATTTTCTTTTACTGAGAAGCTAATTGACATTATGAATTTGTCATATTTTAAAAACATTATATGGTTACAGAAATGCAGTTTTCGGCCATGATGTTAGACTGAAAATCAGTGGAAATGGAGTGGACCTTTTTAAAGTGCAGGATATTATTACCCTCCTTGTTCTAGAGGCCAGAATTTTTCTATCCCTGCAAAAAAAAAATAATAACATCTGTGTTGAGATATGTGGTTTTTGTTTTACTAATTTGAGCTTATTCTAAAAACTTTATACAGTATTTTCACAAATACACCAATTAGTGCTTTTGGGAGAGGGATGAGGGATGGGGGAACTGCAAAATAAAGATTATTGGCTATTTCATAGTTTGCTTTTCCATTTTCTTTATTTAGGATTTAGTTCCTTGAGGCATGGTCAGTGGATCTAAAGTTGCCACATCTTAGTGAGCAGGTCATGCTACTGAAATAAGAATGGCGGTGCCTATATATAACTTTCCCCCAATCCTACTGTCTGAGCGACTTCAGCCCATACTACATTTAAGGAATTTCAATCAGTTTGTTGTCCCTTGCTATTTCATGGTTGCTTTCCTAAATCCAGTTCATGATTTTATAAATGGTCTTTGCAATAATAAAACCAAAGAATCATTTTCAGGGGGCTGGATGGCTCAAGGGATTAGTAATGGAATACAGAGCCTTTCACCTCTGGGTCAGTGAGTCGAATCCAGTCCAGGTCACTAGAGACCAAAAGTTGTCACCATCTTATGACTGTTCAGTGGCCTGTGTGAAATGAACTGGTGGTCTCAGTTTCTACTGGATGGCTGGGTGTGACACCAACCAAAGGGAGTTCAAGAAACTGCAAAAAAAATGTGGATTAGAAAATAAAATGTCCGTGTTACAAAGAAAAGTTAGAAAGTTGGTTGTAGTCATTCTCCAGAAAGTAATACTGAAGAGAAAGCAAGCGCCATAAAAACAAAAACAGACCTTACAAAGAGAATGGAGTTTAATTCACTTTCTGTAAATGATGTCCAACAAAACAGGAAAAGAGAAAGGCTATATTGATTGAGAAAGGAGAGGAACAAATTGGGGAGGCTGACTTAATCCAGAGCAAAACTGTAAGGGAGTCCAAAAAATAATAAAAAATGGTGTTTGACTTTGGAAGGGGAAGGAATCACCAGCAGCAGGAATGGAATGGGACCAGCCACTGTAACAGAATTAGATGTGAAGGAATGAGAAGTATTTCCCTTTGGAGGGTGACAAGTAAAATCACGACCTGCTTTCACTTAAACCAAGCACTATCATTTGAACAGCATCGATAGTTCATGACAGAAGTAGTCAGCAAGAGAGCTTATTCTGGCTGGTGATTTTATTGGAGGAGATGGTGTTTGAGAAACAAACAGAAAACTGAGCCGCTCTTGGGTGTGATAATCTACCTTTGCAGAGCATCGTGTCTGCGACTGCCCAGGTGTTTCTCTTCGGAAGGTGTCTGCCATGAAGTACAGTGAGGACTTTTATCCTACCACTGCTTCGTGGTTCCGAGCGTCCTGAAGAAAATCGGAGAGGATCAGACTAGTCTGACTTTGTCAGGCTTTTTTCAGAGATAAAATACAGTGCACTAGCTTTTTTCAGAGATAAAATACAGTGCACTACTCGGTCGCGTCACCTAAACCGCCTTTATTCTCCTTTCAATAGGACGATTAAACAAAGACCTACTAACCAAATTAAAGTATAAAGTGAACAGGGAGATATGGAAACCTTGAATGCTAATGAATGACGTTCACCAAGGCATGCTGGCTAAGTTTTCAGTACAGTTTTATGGCCAATCTCTTTAGATCATAGCAGTTTCCTCTTTAGAAGTTTGAGGCTAAAAGTAGATGCGTTACCTTGACTGAAGAATGAAATAGATAATGTTCTGAATGCTGTCTTTCTACAGTGGTATCCCTCATTTCTTTGAGAATCTTGGATTAGTTATAGCCTAAAAAGTATAAAGCAACTATTAATCCATGTGCACAGGCCAGGAGAGGACATGAAATTAGATAAGCACAGCTGGACAGTTTATTCTTCATTTAAAGGAAGCAGTTTGGCTGAGGATGTAGCTCAGTGGCACAATGTGAGCTCAGCATGCACGAGGCCCTGGGTTCAATCCAATCCCCAGCACCGAAGTCAATGAAACACTTAGTATGTGTATGAGCTATTAAAAGTGGCTCCTTGTCACTCTTTCATCCTGGACTACTAATTTTTAGTTTGTATAAGAACCACATCAGTCATTTTCCCTCATTCATTTGCATTTCATGGAAACGGCAAAGATGCATCGCAACCATGTTTATTGCCAGGGGTGTGGTTTCTGAGGCGCTCTCATTTTTTCTTCATCCTCTCATGGTTTTGTACTTGCTGTGCAGTTCATTTTTTTTAAATTAATGCTGGGAATGGAACCCAGGGCCTTGAGCACACTAGGCAAGCACTCTAATACTGAGCCCCATCCCCAGCCCAGCCCTGCAGTATTCTATGTGTTAAAATGCATCAAAGTCTAAGAACACTCCATACTTGTTTCCCGTTTTTCTTTTGGGAGTTGGGAGTGTTACTGGGCTTTGAACTCAGTGCCTCATACTTTCTAGGCAAGCACTCTACCACTTAAACCATGCCCCCAGTCCTTCTTGCTTTTAGTTGGTTATTCAGATGGGTTCTCATGCTCACTGCCCAGGCTGGTCTCAGATCGAGCTCCCCCACCTCCACCTCCATCTCCCAAGTAGCTGGGATCACAGGGGCATGCCACCACACTAGGCTTCTTTTTAACTATGCCCAGACTGGCCTTGAACCTTGCTCCTGCTGTCTCTACCTGCCCAGTACCTGGATTACAGACTTCCAGTTTTTTTACATTCAGTATTTCTACCTTAGACTGCAACTGGGTTTTTTTCTGTTTGGGTTTTTTTAGGGGGAGAAGGGGAAAGGATTTGAACTCAGGGCCTCATGCTTGCTAGGCAGGTGGTCTACCACTTGCACCAGTGCACAAGCCCTGTTTTGTGTTGAATATTTCTGAGATTGGATCTCTTGAATATTTGCCCTGGCTGGCTTTGAACCACAGTCTTCCTGAGCTCCACCTCCAGAGTAGCTGATTACAGGCATAACCACCAGTGCTCGGCCCTGCAATTGTTTTTTGTTTGTTTTTAATATGGGCCACTTCATGAATTTGCGTGTCATCCTTGTGCAGGGGCTATGCTAAACCTCTCTATATTGTCCCAAGTTTAGTATATGTGCTGCCAAAGCGAGCACCTGCAAGTGGTTTTTAATGCTGAAATAGTTTTTATTTAGAAATATTTGTAACAAAATAATTAAAAGCCCAGCAAATGTTTGCAAAAAGCTATCCTAGAAACTGGCAGAACAGGCACACATGAAAAATACATCTATTCAGATGTATATTCTGCAGTAGGTAAGTAGGTTGGACTTTCAGGATGGAAGCATGTTTTAGGCACTTAGCCCTCGCAATAATTTCCTACTGCATCCCTGGAACCTGATCAGTACTTTCCTAATCTTTTGAAGTTTTGTGAGGTCTTGTTTCTGATTAGTGAAACATTTAATGTTTATTTATTTTTTGTGATACTGGGGTTTAAATTTAGGGCCTCATGCTTGGTAGGCAAGCCCTCTACCATTGAGCCACACTGCCAGCCCTTTTTGGTATTGGGTATTTCAAGGTAGAGTCTCTCAAACTATTTGCCCAGAGCTGGCTTTGAACCTCGATCCTCCTGATCTCTGCCTCCTGAGTAGCTAGGATTTTGGTGTGAGCTACTGGTGCTGGGCTGATCAAGCATGTAGAATGGAACGGTCTTAAGCAAAAGCACACACACCTGAGAATGTCATTGTTACTGTCCTTAATGAGTTAATGCCAAGTTAAATGGTTTGAAGGAGATGTTAGTGTAATAGTACTGGTTAACTCATGTAGAGCTACAGAAGTACTTACTTACCAAAGGAAGTTCAAATTGCCCAGCAATATTGTTGGATTATGTTCTGCTTGCTTTTTATACTATTTGGGATGGCGATTAGACTTTGTAACTGGATTCATAAGTGCCCAACTCTTCATCTTTCCTTCATTCTGTTTTTTTTTTATTATTTTTTGTTTGTTTTGAGATCATCTTGCCAGGTAACCCAGGCTGCCTTCAAACGGATCCTCCTGACTCTGCCTCCTGGGTGCTGGGATTACTGGTGTGTGCCACCACACACAGCTATCCTATTAATTTACAACATTCACAAAAAGGCAACTATTTGGCTGGGAATGTCCTATGCTCAGCCATGTCCATATATCTGAAAACAAACAAACAAACAAACAAATGAAAAAGAATGCTCATTAGTTATCTCTCTGAGCAAAGCACAATGTGTACCTTGAAGATACAAAGATGACAGAGGCAGCCTGTCCTCAGTGTGGCAGAGGGCTCCAATATGTAACATATAAAAAGCAAATTCACAGCTCAAAACTGGGTGCAGACCACAAGATCATGGACAGATGGTCATTTCTGTCTAAAGTTTGACCAATTATCAGCTATAAAGCCAAGTATGATTTGCTAGGCCTGTTGGTGCACGTCTATAATCCAGCCCTCTAGAGGTGAGGCAGGAGGATTTGGGGTTTGAAGCCAGC